ATAAAAACCATCGCTCCTAAGAATATCCTTCAATTCTTGTCCCTGATGGGTCTAGGTAGCGAACTTTGGAAAAGGCGAGCACAATAGATCTATGAAGGTCACAATGCTACAGGTCCGTGCACCTGTCGATAGCCCAAACAACCCAATAAAAAAAAATACAAAAGGATAGAAATTAAATTAAGCAACGACAACGTCTTATGTAAATATGATTTGAAGCTTCATATAGGCTATCTTTTATATAAAAAAAGCAAATAAATTCAAAAGTATCAGCTTGAATGTCGATACATTTTAAACATTCAGAAAAGAGAGCTCTGTCGACCCATCGATGCTTTTCTACATGAATAGCATTATAGACATCACGTTATCATGTAACATCCATGATAGCACTAATGGAAGGGAATTGATAGTAGTGTAGATCAATGACCCTATTGCTAGAAATGTAGCTTGTCAGGTTGACGTCCACACGGTCACCCCTGGAAACCTTCATCATCATCATAATCATAACAATAATAAGAAAAAGAAACCAATTTAATTGGATACCGACAATCACTACATGAAATGTTATCTTAGATACATGTGCAATAGTCCGTCGCTTGCTTCACCACGCAAAATAAAGTAATGAGGGACTTGGCATGTCCCGTTCTCGGTACTTATCTTTCTATATATGTATATACAACAATAATAATAATAAAAGATGCAGAAAGCGGTGCTCTTAGATTCTGCCCGCGTTGTACGCCGGTTTCTCTCCCTGGGGCCCTGAACCCCGGCCGACTGTGCTTCTGCCAGGGGTATGTTCCCATCTCCTCTCCTTAAGAGGGGAGATGAGAATTTTTGTAAAGTTTAAAAAATATGGAAACCATCGTGATAAATTCCTAGTGAATTTGTCACGATGGGCTAACTGACCTTACCTTATCCTCACTTTATCATACTCCATTGGTGCCCCGCCAGCTTAAACCGGCAGGTGCACCATTCCATTATCATCCATTTAAAAATACCTGCAAGAGTACTAAAATCAGACGACTAAGGAGACTAACCAGAGGACTAAGACGTCATGCCTCATAATCTGTAACTAGCTTTTGCCCGCGGCTTCGCTCGCGTTAAGAAGTATTATTATTAGGTATAGTTTTTGTGGCTTTACGGTACTTTCATACAAACTTTAATCACCTATTTTATCCTCTTAGGGGTGGAATTTATAAAATCCTTTCTTAGGGGATGCCTACATCATAGTAGCTTTATGTATGCATAGTCTCAGTCCGATCGGTTTAAAATTGACAAAGTTTCATACAAAATTTAATCCACTATTTTATCCCCTTGGGGGTAGAATTAATCAAAATCCTTTCTAATCAAGATTAATCAAGATCCGTCCAGTGGTTTGGGCTGTGCGTTGATAGATCACTATGTCAGTCACCTTTGAGTTATATATATTTAGATTTCACTGACTTATTGCAACCTACAACCGAAACACGACTGGAGTACCCATCTAAGATACCTCCTCTGATAAATTGAATTCAGTAGCTGGTATAAATCCCAAAAATTTCACAGACGGTCCAACAAGCTATGTAAAATCAACGAGCATACAATTGTAGCCGCAGTTATGTCCATTTCACGGTTGGCTCCCGTGGGCAGCGATGTGCAGATTAATAGCAGGTCGGTTATTATAATATTCCCATTATCTGTCGCTGGCTGCTAATCTCGAATGTAATAACATGTGATTTTAAAACGTTTCACGCTTGGCATAATACGTTTATTATATTAGTGGAGTAAATACGGACTAACATATATCTGCTCAATCCTAACCTTCTGCGTCCTGTTGCCATGATCACGCGTTACATTTCCCCATCTTTAATAATCACCTAACATTTCCGATAGACGACTAAGCACACGTTTCAAACTAATTAAAATTTGATATTTATGTTAATTTTGATTTCATTTTTGCTATTTACTATTTTGAGTGTTACTTATAAAGTATACAGTAAAAAAGTTATATATTCTGTCGATTGCTATGTTAATGAGTAGTATATAGCAGAATCGTTTGTCTTGATACATTTTGTTAATCTATATATATATATATATATATATATATATGTATATATAACTCAACTGACATAGTGATCTATCAACGCACAGCCCAAACCACTGGACGGACCGGGCTGAAATTTAGCATGCAGGAAGATGTTATGACGTAGGCATCCGCTAAGAAAGGATTTTGATTAATTCTACCCCCAAGGGCATAAAATAGGGGATGAAAGTTTGTATGAAACTTTGTCAATTTCAAACCGATCGGGCTGAGACTTAGGCATCCCCTAAGAAAGGATTTTGATGAATTCCACCCCTAAGAGGATAAATTAACGCGAGCGACGTCGCGGGATAAAGCTAGTCTGAAAATATGATTAACTAGCTGATAGGCAATGCTGATACTAAATATACCTACCTACTACAAAATGTGCTTATAAACAACGTTTACAACTTTTTTATCATTACATAGTACAAACATGTTTTGTTTATAGATTACTCTTGAAACAGCGACATTTTTATCATTACATAGTACAAACATGTTTTGTTTATAGATTACTCTTGAAACAGCGACATATAATTCGTGGAGGGCAGGTTGACCTCCACGCGATTCCCCCTGGAAACCATATACTTGAATCATACATATCATCCATAAAAAAAAAGCTCTGTTGCCTTGGAATTAGATGGCTATATGCGAATTGTTTAGAGATACAACTACTATTACTAGTACTATTATTATTTTTGTTTTGAATTAAATTTGATATGCTGTAAATTTATGAGCCGAGAGTGGTACTAGTACTTACATAAATAAATAACCAACTTACGCGATTCTGTACGCGATGCGTCAGTCAATCAAATATAGAATAAATTCACGTCAATTTTTCCCTACCGTCCAATTCAGTATGTAGATTAAATTGAGAGGAACTGGTAAGACAATCAACTGAATTTCTCAGAGCAGCAAATAAAGCCATAGAGTCAAGTGTCGTGATCGTGCGGGTAGGGCGAGATAGTCACGCGTGACAACTCGACATCGATCGTGTGTCCGGGCCTTAACCCCCGCCCTTTAGGGTTGCCAGGTTTCCTAACAACCTTAGTATAATCTCAAACTAAGGAACCGTTACTGTAATATAAATAAACATAATTATAAACGTTACTGTAACGTTTATTGGGTATTCTGGCAAGATATTTGTTACGGAAGGAAGGATCGACTGTATTAAGGCTGGTTAAAAATGAGACACGTTCCTAGGTGAGGTAAAATAGATGTAATCAGCTCGCTAGCAAAAATATAAAGACCATATGGCATAAGAAAACAAACGGTATATAAAAACAGAACGTCAAAATATAAAATTCAAATATATATAAAAAACATAAAAACTATCAAAAAGGTTGCCATCGGCAATATTGCGGGTGAATAATACGATGTTGCTAGTCGAGACGATGTATATTACAGATAATGATAAACTGACAATATGTACATAGAAATAATGATCTTATATACTAAATAAAAATAGGAAAATGTAAGGTGGGGTGACACAGTTTAGATACAGCAGTGCCTAGTAGACAATATTGAATTTGTCTTACTAGACATTATTAAATGCAATTATTATTTTATGTATCTAGGTGACTGTGTCCCATAGGCAACAATATTATTATATATTTACTAGCTGTGCCTGCCGTTTATAGAAATTTAATAATAATATGATTTATTTCTCCTCACAAACATGATGGCAACAATATATGTAGTATTCTTTATATTAAAATACTTAAATTTATTATTTGAATCGATTTGCTGTGAGGAGCTGGTGTCTGAGATAGGCATAACCTGTAATACAGATCACCAGAGAATTTTTACCAGAAATTTGTAGCCTATATGTTATTCTTATGTATAAGCTTACTGTAAAGTTTCATCAAAATCCGTTCAGTAGTTTTTGCATGAGAGAGTAACAAACATCCAAAAAACTAACAAACTTTCGCAGTTTTAATATTAAAAACGGTGCAGTATGAAATTTCGCACACTTATAGTTTATATAGAGAAAGAATGAAGAATGCTAAAATATTTTTTTAATTGTACATAACTAATTATCCCTGCAAATGTTCTTTTGCCATATAAATTAAAATCGCTATTAAAAAATAGGGGTTGGTGATAGAAGGGTGTATATTTAGGGTTGTATGTATTTGTTAATGCCACATTATAAACAAACAGAATGAAGTTGAACAAAAAGGTTCAGTAACGGGTGAATTCCGAGACCTACTGCATATGTATATAAAACTTCATAAAAATCGGTCAAACCGTTTAGCAGGAATATGCTAACCAACATTGTGACACGACAATTTTATATATTAAGATACGTGAAGCAAAAACTTGATTCCCTTTTTACGAAAAAATATATAATTTCGTACACTTATAGTTTATATAGAGAAGGTATGTAGAATGCTAATATTATTTTTAATAAATACTTTAAATCAATAAAAAAAAAATATTATATACTCTACCATATATTTGACACTATTTTATACATGCATATACCTATATATTTTGTTACTTGTCACCAATTCATTCATAGCGAAATTTGTGACATCCATTCATGTTAGGCAATAGCTATTTTACATTAAATTAACTGTCAGTTTATATATTATTTCAATTAATATAAATTTAAAAATAAATTGCAACAATATAATAATAAAAAAACAAAGCTGATAGAGGCCCGAATAGTGTCGTAGATACCGTTGTCAAGGCAACAGAAAACATAACTATAAACAGTGTCGATTTTATTTTTATAATAATTATGTAATCGGTACAGTATTTGAATAACTTGATTATATCTTTACAATTGTCTATGATTTATAAAAGAGCAAGAAAACACTCTATACTTCTACTCGATGAAATTAGTCACATTTACAATTTAAATTATGTAATAGCGTCTTTACTTATATTGAGAAAATAATTGATGTACAATATTGTAGTTTACGATTATCTAAATACTTACTGTTATCATGAAATCCAAGATATATGTTTTTTAATTAATTTAACGCCAAAACTGCACTCTCCACAGACACATTAATATTACAACTCTATTTATTAATTACACCACAAAGTACCACTTATCCACAGATGAAATAGCATTTTCAATCATAGACAACAAATAAAAACCGTTATTTACGTGATCGTTTTAAAAATAGAAAATAAAAGAAAATTCGAATTTAGAATAATTCGAAAGCACTCGTGCGTCCCCGCTGGCCGCGAAGCGACTGCACGACTTTAAATAAAACTTGTGACCTCTGTTATCTCTTTCTTTCGTACAATAGTGCATTGCGAATAGAAAAGGATAGATAGTTGAACGAGTTTTCCAAACAATCACGTATGTAGTTTTTGTTATCTTTTATAAGTTATTTTCTGTCAATGAATTAGGTATATTCGTAATAATGGAACTGAAAGATACTTTTAAGCAAATTTTGTACTTATTACATGTAGTGTAGTAAGTGTAGATTTTTTTTTTTGTATTTAGATTCCTAATTCGAATTGTAAACGTTTAGACAGATATATTATGTTAATATAATACCCCTCGAGACTGGCTAATTTTAGTTGATAATTTTCATGACATTTATAATATACTAGCTATCGGCCCCGGCTTCGCACGGATGTACATCTATTATACATATAAACCTTCCTCTGAAATCACTATATCTATTGCTATAAACTGCATTAAAATCATGTGAAGTGTACAGACTGTACAGGTTGTTATTATTATATAACTATTACTACTAAGTCGTGATTATGTTGCATTGGAAACCAAAAAAAGCGAAACATTTTTTTTTTACTATGGATGGTCGGAATTGCGTTTCTATTACGTTGCTTCGGAGCCCTAAAACATTATATTATATTACAGATAATATTTTCCCTATCCTAATGATAACTATTTATAGATGATGATAATAACCAAATACGCAAGTCATTGTAAGTAGTAAATAAAGATTATAATAATTTATTATATATTGAGACAATAATACCTAATCAATATAAACATGATGACAAAACAAACAGTAAACATTATGAAATCTTATCAAAATAATATAATGCAAGTTGTTCAAATAAATGGTGTAAAGTCTGAGGGAACTAGTGTTAAAATGGGTGTTCCTCAAGGCTCTATTCTAGGTCCGTTTTTATTTTTAGTTTACATAAATGATCTTCCTTATATGGTAGAAAAGATAGCTGACATAGTTCTGTTTGCTGATACTTCATTAGTATTCAAAGTCAATCGACATATTAATAATATGGACGAAGTAAACGGTGCTCTCTCTTCTGTTTTAAAATGGGATACTGCTAATATTATGCTACTAAATGCAAATAAAACTAAATGTATCAAATTTACGCTCCCCAACGTAAGGCAGGTAGATTCAACAATCGTATTGGACAATAAACCTATAGATTTTGTTGACGATACTGTATGTCTAGGTATCACATTAGATTCTAAGTTGCAATGGAGTGCCCTTATTACTAAATTGGCATATAAATATCTAATATTATATATAATATATATATTATTTTATATAACTATAATATAATATAATATATATATAGTATAATATATATATATAATATAATATATATTTATTTCGATAATGTAGCACCCCCTCCAGAGGAACATATTAAGCAATTAAAACTTTGGCAGTATCAAATCGCAGCTGAAGTACTAGATAATATATTTATATTAAAAAAAGTGATAATAAAACAATAGACAGACAAATAAAATTAACAAAAAAAAACCATATGGGACAATATATATATAAAGAAAACAAATTGGTCTTAACTTAATATATTAATGAAAATTTTAATTATATGAATAATAAAGCTTAAAAAAAAATAATATAATAACAATATGATCAATGATGATGATGATTAAAGAAAAAAAAATCGTTCCGGTAATTTTACTATAATTTTTTTATCAGTAACAGATACCAAAGACATATATAATTCATAGCATATTCATTCATTTCTTCATTTATATTCATTGCCTCGTTGAGTTGATACATATAAATTATTTGTTAATATTCATTATTGAATATATTTATTTACTTAAAATTAGATAGTACACTGCAAGGAAGAATTTTGAAGAAAATAAGAATTTTGTAAGTGTTTCATTAATTATTATAATAATTATAATGTTTCATATCAGTTGTGTTTGACGGCCTCGGTGGTCTAGCGGTCTAGCACACCGCCTTACGTCCGATGGGTTCGATGCCTCGCACGGCACAAACATTTGTATTCATGAGTATGATTGTTTGTATCGGTCTGAGTGTTTTCTATGTATAATATGTATGTATTTACGAAAAAAATATCTGTGTATTTGTATCAGTTGTCTAGAACCTATAACACGAGCTTTAGCTAGCTTAACTTGGGTCTAGATGGCGCTGTCTGAATTGTCCTGAGATGATTATTATTATTATTATATAATTGTGGGAATAATAAACGAGAAACAGTAAGTTGTACAAAACGTAAATTTAGTATTTTTTTAAATATTGGACAGTTTTCACGGGATCCTGCGACGATTTATTTATTATTACGTATCAGGTAGTGTTACAACAACCATGATTATCTGTGAACTGAAAAACAGCGGGTATATGGAAAATTATGGGTAAAAACAGTGATATATTCAAACAACATCGTGTCTTGACAGTATCAGGTAGTGTTACAACAACCATGATTATCTGTGAACTGAAAAACAGCGGGTATATGGAAAATTATGGGTAAAAACAGTGATATATTCAAACAACATGGTGTCTTGACAATGACGAAATTTGTTCGATACTCATCTTGGCAGATTACACTCATTGTATTGTCACTAGAGAATACGATTTAGTTTTTTTAATCCCAGGATTAATTTAGTGAAAAGTCAGTAAATTATTTTCAATCGTTCTATTTTTACCTACTAGCGGACCCGGCGTACTTCGTAACGCCTAACATTCGATTCTTTAATTTTTTAGTTTATTTAATACTTATTCTGCTATTCAGGGCGCCGGGATTTGTAGTAATATTATATGCACATCAATGAGACATGTACATTTCAAGTGACATTTTACCACTGACCACCTGTTTTTGACTAATATTGACACATGCCTTCCCGGAACCTCTCTACTTACACTTGAACTTTATGACAAATTGACTTTTAAGTATCATTAAGAATCGTTTGTATGGGATTAAAAAAAAGGGAGAAAAGCGTTGTTTTTAGGCACTTTTAGGCATTTTTTTAAATTTTTCTCTCCGTAAGAACCATCCTCGTACCTCAAGGAATATTCTAAAAAAAGAATTATCGAAATCGGTTCAGTAGTTCTCGAGATTAGCGCTTACCAAAACATTTAGCGATTCATTTTTATATTATAGAATAGGTAATAGGTTTATTTTAAAGATATATTAAACAAAATTTGCTTCTAATTTCATTGAAGACTAATATTTGTAGTTTACAAATGGTTACTTACTAAAAATTAAACTTTGAGAAAATCAACTTTGTTAGACTGACTTAGAGAAACCTAAAAAAATACTCTACAACTATAAGGATGTAAGACAAGTAGGTAGGTATGCGTAACCATCGACTTCGACAAATATGGTAATTCCTACAAAAGAAATGTTGTGATTATAGTCAACGAAATATTTGCTACGAAATTCATATTTCGGACCGCGTCGTGACGGCGAACTTTTGTACACACACACACAACGCCGTCGTAAACTAATTTAATCAATCAGCTGCTTATCCAAGATGGCCGATAAATGTTAAATAGAGATTAAGTTCGTTTCGTGTCATACAAAAACACTATGAATTCGTTAAAAAAATTGTTAATCCTGAGAATTTCGGGACCCCAAATCCTCTAATCGTTAGGTACCTGTAAGACATTTTCCAACCACTAATTTTATTTAATCAACCCAATAACTAAATTCCTGCGATTTCCTCAATATTAGGAAGTGTAAATAATGAACGCGTAAAATTAAAAACAATATGATAAATCTTGGACAAGAACTTATTTATCCACGGTACTAATCAGATAGTATCTGATCCTGTATCATCGCCAGCAAGCAATTTTATTTTCATTTTACAGTAGAAGATAAGATTAGTACTAAGATACGATGGGACTGGCATTGTCATATTATGATAAAACTCCCTAAATAAATGTAAGATTAAAAAAAAAGAATTTATTCATATACAAATTAAAATATGAAGTATCCTGTACTTTAATTATCACATCTGAATCATATTGCGTATATCTAAATATATATAACTCAAAGGTGACTGACATAGTGATCTATCAACGCACAGCCCAAACCACTGAACGGATCGGGCTGAAATTTGGCATGCAGGTAGATGTTATGACGTCGGTATCCGCTAAGAAAGGATTTTGATTAATTCTACTCCCAAGAGGATAAAATAGGGGATGAAAGTTTGTATGAAACTTTGTCAATTTTAAACCTATCGGGCTAAGACTTTGCACGCATAAAGCTACTATGACGTAGCTATCCCCTAAGAAAGGATTTTTATAAATTCCACCCCTAAGGGGATAAAATAGGGGATGAAACTTTGTCAATTTTAAACCGATCGGGCTGAGACTTTGCATGCATAAAGCTACTATGATGTTAGCATCCCTTAAAAAAGGGGATAAATAAACGCGAGCGAAGACGCGGGCAAAAGCTAGTTAATACATATAAGAGGTAATTTTACATGTTATGTACTCTATCTACAATAGCAAATTATGCGAATAAATGCGAAAGTGGAAGTGATTGTTTGTTTGCTTTTATTGCTGAACAGATATTAATGAAATTCATGGAGCTCTCTTCGAGCTATTATTTAATTATATACATTTCATTAACTACAATCTATATTGTATAACGAGGCTGTAATTAACGTTTCAATATTAAATACTAACCCGGCCTGTTTCTAACCAAAAATTTATATTGTTCAGACGAATAATAGGCACTCTTTGTGTTTGTGTGTGTGAACGATATTACATATATGAATAACT